CCCGCCCCCGCCCCCGCCCCTCCGCCTGCCCCCAGCCGGCCTGTGCGTCGGTGACCCCGTCCTTCGTACCGGCAAGCCCCTCTCCGTCGAGCTCGGCCCCGGCATCATGAGTGGTATCTTCGACGGTATCCAGCGCCCGCTGGAGGCCATCCAGAAGAGCACCATGTCCATCTACATCCCCCGCGGTATCGACACCGATGCCCTGGACAAGGACAAGCCCTGGGAGTTCGTCCCCTCGGAGAAGCTGCGCGTCGGCGACCACCTCGCCGGTGGTGACGTCTTCGGCAAGGTCTACGAGAACTCCCTGGTCGATGTGCTGATCCTGGTCCCCCCCCGTGGCCGCGGTACCATCACCTACATCGCCCCGGCCGGCAGCTACTCCCTGCGTGACACCGTCCTCACTCTGGAGTTCAACGGCAAGAAGCACAACTACACCATGATGCACAACTGGCCCGTGCGCCAGCCCCGCCCGGTGGCCGAGAAGCTCAACGCCGATCACCCCCTGTTCACCGGCCAGCGTGTCCTGGACTCCCTCTTCCCCATGGTCCTCGGTGGTACCTGCGCCATTCCCGGCGCCTTCGGCTGCGGCAAGACCGTCATTTCTCAGTCCCTCTCCAAGTACTCCAACTCCGACTGCATTGTCTACGTCGGCTGCGGCGAGCGCGGCAACGAGATGGCCGAGGTCCTCAAGGACTTCCCCGAGCTGACCATCGAGCACAATGGCCGTGATGAGCCCATTCTCCAGCGTACCTGCCTGGTGGCCAACACCTCCAACATGCCGGTCGCCGCTCGTGAGGCCTCCATCTACACCGGTATCACCCTGGCCGAGTACTTCCGTGACATGGGTAAGAACGTGTTTCCGATTTGTCCTCTTCCGATCTCGGTGGGCGGGGGTCTTTCTGAATTTTTCCGTTCTTTTTGCCGAGTTCCCTGCGGGGGCGGGCCCCCCCCCCCCCCCCCCCCCCCCCCCCGCCTCTCCTACTCAGGGGGCCGCCCATGCTTCTCAGCCGGGGCTCTCTTACTCTTTCGCCCCCCCCCCCTCTCTCCCCCCCCCCTTCCATCCACTCACCCTTCTCCTGGCCCGCGCGCTCTCTCCCCTCCCCCTCTCCCCCCTCCCCAAACACACAAACACAGATTCCGGCTACCCCGCCTACCTGGGTGCCCGTCTGGCCTCTTTCTACGAGCGCGCCGGTAAGGCCCGCTGCCTGGGCTCCCCCGACCGTCTTGGCTCCGTGTCCATCGTCGGTGCCGTCTCCCCCCCGGGTGGTGATCTGTCCTGCCCGGTTGTCTCGGCCACCCTCGGTATTGTCCAGACCTTCTGGAGCCTGGACAAGAAGCTGGCCCAGCGCAAGCACTTCCCCTCGGTCAACTGGTCCAACTCCTACTCCAAGTACGAGAAGGCCCTCGAGCCCTACTACGACACCTTCGACTCGGAGTTCGTCGCCCTGCGCACCAAGATCCGCCGCATCCTCCAGAAGGAGGAGAGCCTCAGCGAGATTGTCCAGCTGGTCGGCATGAGCGGTCTCGCCGAGTCCGACAAGCTCACCCTCGAGGTGGCCAAGATCATCAAGGATGACTTCCTCGCTCAGAACGGCTACTCCGACTACGACTACAACTGCCCCTTCTACAAGACCGTCGGCATGGTCCGCAACATTGCCACCTTCTACGACCTGGCCATCAACGCCATCGAGTCCACCGCCCAGTCCGACCGCCGCGTCACCTGGCAGGTCATCCGCGAGGAGCTCGGCGACATCCTCCACCAGCTCAGCTCCATGAAGTTCAAGGTGCGCCCTCTGTGCCCTGCGCCCTGCCGGCCCTTCTGCCGCCCATCACCCCCCCCCCCCCCACCCGCACTTCTTTCCTCATCCATCTCCTCCTCCTCCGCATGATCTTGCCCTGACCCCTTCTCTCTCTCTCTCTCTCTCCCCCACAGAACCCCACCGAGGGTGAGGCTGCCGTCCGCAAGCACAACGACGACCTCTTCGCCAACATGAAGGATCGCTTCCGCCAGCTCGTTGAGAACTAAGCGCGTCCTGGCCTGTCCGTGCGCGTTCCTCTCCGGCCCGACTTCCTCGTGTGTGTGTGTGTGTGTGTGTGTGTATGTGTGCGCATGCCCGTGCGCTGCCCCCACCCCTCCGCATGTATCTACACACACTCTCCCTTTCTTCCTCTGTCTTTCCCGGCCACCACGGGGGGCGGGGCGTGCACACGTCCCCTTCAGGGCAGTCGTGGGCACGCATAGCGCGCGCTTCACCTCTCACATACCCCGCCCTGGAGCGCCGCGGCCGATCGGGCGGAGGGGGGGGGGACCAAACGCGGCCTTCTTACATCGGCACACGGAGAGAGGGGGCGCGCACGCTGGAAAGGGACTCGCCCCAGGGCGGCATGCGCGTCCGCGTGTTCATGTGCATGCACCGGTCTTGCTCCTTCTCCCGCGGGCCTGCGGCGCTGCCCCGCCCTCTCCCACCTTCTTGCTGCTGCCCCCCTTGTTTGTTGTCCCTCCTCCGCCCTTCCCTCCTCCTTCTACTATACAAATATATACACCACCAAACACTACATCAGCTCCTCGTGTGTGTGTGTACATGCTTCCGAATCCCGGTGCCTTTGCCACGTCCTCGCGCCCGGCTGGTTTTCCCCGCGCCCCGAAACATGGATGCACTCGGCTCGCGGGCACCAAAAACAGAAATAGTCACGCCACTCTTTTCTCTCCTCGGGAAGCTGTATATTGCGCGCGCGACGCCTTTTTGAAAGGAAGGGGGGGGG